CCTCACCTCTCAATTAAACCAGGTATTCCCAACCCTTACTTACCTGACTCCTTGTGTTTTCTCTGGCAACAATATCGGATGAGTAGGACAAGGAGGAGGAAAAGAAGTAGGGCAAAGGCTGCTGAGACCCCTATTACAATGTTCAGGTTCTCCTTGACACCTTCAGGAGACAAACAGCATCATGAATTTAATGTCATGACAAAGCCAGCGATGCCCATTGTACTGAGGACCTACTCTGTGCCAGACACATGCTGGATCTTTGCTTTCATCATTTCTAATTCTCATAACAATCAGGTAACATAGGGTTACCACTTTCCACCCCAATCATTTTACACATGACGATGAGAAAGCAGAGGCTCAGAATGGTAAATCACCCAGCCAGGAGGTGGCAGAGCTGGGATGTAAACCCAAGATTGCTGACTTCCACGTCCTTGCTTTTGTTGTTGTTGTTATTGATATGTATTTTCACCAGAGCTGCTTCAATGACACCCACAGCCATGGAGTTGATTTAAGTCACAGCGCTCCTAGAGGACACAGTGGAAGTGCCCCACAGGGTTTGCAAGACTGTCAATGTCCATGGAAGCAAAGTCCAAACCACACCCACTGCCCTGGAGTCCATTCTGACCCACAGCGCCCCTAGGGGACAGAGTGGAACTGCCCCACAGGGTTTCCAAAGCTGTCAATCTTCACAGAAGCTGATGCCTCATCTTTCGTCAGCAGAGTGGGTGGTAGATTCTAACTGCTGGCTTTTTGGAGAGCAGCTAAACACTTTAACCACCAGAGCTCCTTAGAGCACCACTAGGCTGGTATAAAAGAATTTGCTCCCTGGGTAACGGAAACCATTAAGTGTTTGACTACTGGAGGAAAGCTTGGCAGTTTGAACCCACCCAGAGGCACCCTGTAAGGCCTAGTGTTTCGTTTCTGAAAGGTCACAACCTTGAAAACTCTATGAAGCACTCTCATACACTGCTGGTGGGACTGTAAAATGGTACAACCATTGTGGAAAGCAGTATGGAAATTCCTTCATAAGTTGG